TAGAGGATCCCACTATATATATATATATATAATATAATATATATATATATATGTGTGTGTGTGTGTGTGTGTGTGTGTGTGTGTGTGTGTCATATATATATATATATATATATATATATATATATATATATATGTATGTATATATGTATGTATATATATATATATATGGTGGGAAAGATACGTGCACAAATATGTTCGTGTGTGTTTATTTGTATGTACATGCATGCAAATATCCTTAGATGGGTACCCATAAACAAACAAATACGAACATATACGTGAATCATATACACAACTATCCGAAAATTTTGTTTTTATGCAATATTGTGTAGTTATATATCTACACAATTGTATACACATCTATGTATATGTAATAATATGATACAACTGAGTATATAGGCATACATGTACCTCGCGTCCTCTAGTTCTATACGTATATATGTGCGTGTAACTATAAGACTCAAAATATAGAAGTGTGTGTAGGGGTTACATACCTTCATACAAAATGTAGATACATAAACATAAGCTGTATTTGTAATTACGCACTTGTTGCTGTTATGTGTGATATCACTCTGACAACATATTGGTGAACTAACCTACTGGTGAACTTGGCATATTTCCCTTTCGAACAGGTTGGTTCGCAATTCTACTACACGCAGCTCAAGAATGGGTTAGTCGAGCAGTGGCAAGTGAACGGAGTGGACTTCAACTTCTCAATAAGATTTGTAGATTCCCGGGCCATGGAAGCCGGAAATGGTGTTGCAACTGGTGAGTCTACCAACACAACTTTGTACATGCCACTTCTTTACATTGCACCATACCGGGAAGCTTGATAACAACTAATGAATATCTGCATTTGAGGTCGACCGCTTTTCTCTGGTCAATCTGAAACTTACTAACGCGCTGAAACACTGTACCAGATCTCTTTATCGCAGACAACGTCGCATTGAATACTCAGCGGCTACAAGACTACGCGCTTGCGGCTGTAAATGAGAATGACCAGTATTGCAACTTCTGGGTCGCGAAACCATCTACCGCGAACGTCAAATTTGCAAAACAAATCATGCTCGATCCGCAAGTAAGACAAGCGAGCGCAGCACGGATAAAGAAGTACATCGACACTACCTTTGAACTGACTTCCGAGGTGATTGAGAAGCCCATTATCGCCACAGCGTCAGCGAATAGTCTCATTTTCAATGCGACAACATTTCCGAATCTATATGGCTCATTTGCACCGGCATCCGATGCGGTGGGTCTGTTCCCAAATGGAATGTGGGATAAGGGTCTCAAGACTGTGGCCTTCTTGAGAGGTACGACAACATGACACATTGAATAAGCTCACAAGAACACATGCAGTACTGAAGGGACATATGTGCGCGCTGTTAGCAAATATAGAATTCTTGTTCTGTTAAATTTTCTTTTATGATACAGTTGTATTAAATCTTACTCACAATCAAACACGACTTATTCCGTGCAGAACAAGACAACACACTAAACAATGTTTATGGTCGGGCCGGAGAAGAATACCTTGCTTAATCTTCAGCCAACGGGAGAAATTGGACTCAGTTGTACATGCCACATAAAATCGGCTCTTCGCACGGCGATGACGCAGCACTCACGGAAACTGTAAGTCGCCGAATATACTTGCTCCATGGTGAACTTATAACCATAATGTGAATACGCAATGGGATGAAAATCAGGACAGTTCGGTTGTGCATTTCACGATGTGAACCCACAGCTCGTACAGAACGAGAAATATATATGTATAACTCGTACTATAACATCTGTCATGTTGCAGTTAATACACATTCCCCTGGATCCGTCAGGGAGTGGCCACTATCGACCGACCAGCGACACGTACAAGGACATAGTAAAAGAAATTTACCTGGCACAGAATGCATACAACCGAGAACACCCTGACCGTGACAATGACATTCCCGGTACGTGTATTGCTTGCGTGCGTGATATTCACGAATACTCGAGTCGTTTTGCTGCAGAATTTAACTGCCAATTGGCCCTTGTCCTCTTGGAAATTCTAATTTCTAGCCCTTGATCTCACTCCTCTGTACCATTCAACAGATTGTGTAGTCCTGTCGACAAGCAACGAGGGCAGTCAGTTGGACACGCTGAAAATACTAGCGGATCTCGGATTGGGAAGCGATAGCATGCTGCTGCTGAGTACGCTGAAGAACAATACAATCGGAGAAGCGGAGAAGTTGTATCCGGGTCTTGTAACCTACAAAGCGTACTCACACCTGACTCCCGCGGCGGCTAATGAGACCGGGTGTTTTCTGGGGCACTTGACGAGCCTTAGAGCCAGATACGGCGCGTTTATTGACTCGATCAAGGGATTGCAAAGTACAACTGCGTATGGTAGGACCGATGAATTGAACGAGTTCATGGCATCTTTACTTATCGGAATACAAACACTCCAAATGGCGATGGTCAGGGGTGATTGCCAAAGCACAACAGGTCTTACAGATTGTATTTCCAAGGGCATCAAGGACTCCTGTGCCGCCATAGCTGGCAGCAACAATACTGAGTGCCTGAGTCTGGGTACCGATCAACTTGATGTTGAAACATGGTTCGGCAGAGTAATCTATGACGATAACATGCTTCGTGTGGGTCACGCATTCATTGTCGAACCGATAGGACAGATGGCCCTTAGCGATATACCCTCTACCATACCTTACGCGTTCCCTCGCAGAACCACTGAGGAGCCCTCTACAGTTTTGCGGGACGATTATTGGTGCATTGGCAGGGCTAGGTGTTGTGGGGTGTGTGATTGTGATCGTACTGATTCACTTACGAAGTAGACATCCCGTTGTCAGATCGGCGGCGCCGCTATTCCTGCAGATTATGCTGTCGTACATCTCACTGTTCTTTTTGATCGCTGAGGTGAATGTGTGGATGTGCGATGCGTGGGTGTGGTGCGTATTCCTGGGCTTTGATTTTGCATTCATCGCTCTCCTTATCAAGACTTACCGGGTAGACCAGATCTTCAGCTCTATCCAACGACGGGATCTGCGAGACCGCTGGCTTTTGCTAAGGATGTTTGTGCCGTTGATGGCCTTCTTTCTTATATATCTAATACTTTTCATGGTTATAGAGCCCATGGAGGTAGACTTAGTTGTCGTAGCGGAGGTGATGTGGGAGGAGTGTGACCTGAATACACCAGGCATCTTTGTTGGGATCACGATCCAAGGTATCTTGGTACTCTGGGCTGCGATCCTAGCGTTCAAGGTGCGAAACGCTCCTTCCAAGTTCAACGAGTCATTCTTGATCAGTGTGTCGGTGTACAACTGACTGGTAGTGGATATACTGGTCGTGGCTCTCTTGTACATACTGCCACAGGCTGCTGATACACAGATGAGCCTGCTCTTCATCTATGCATACATGCCGATTACTGTGATGCTGCTGATGATGCTCATCCCCAAAGCTCAGGTATGTTGGTACCAAAAGTGCTTTCTTGCATATGCCACCAACCAGCTCAAATTTACTACCCAACTTTTGTATACATGTTAGTGTATATCACTCAAACGTCACCGTTGCTTTACACTACAGGCAATCAGAAAGAACGGAGACGAAGGCAGGTCCACTAATGGACTGGACACCACTGAACGCATCGATGGAAGAACATTAACACAAACTGCTAATGCGGCTGCGAGAGGGAGTAATTCATGCCCGCTGAGGGCAGAGATTGCCCGCCTCCTAGCAGAGAATATACAATTAACCAACCAGATGAAGAAGGTAAGTAAAGCAGGGTCCCTCATTTGTCTGTACGCTTAGGCGTACGTCTTGAGAAGACTTTCTGCTGTATAGAATTGAACCACATATACTGAACAGAAGCCCATTACCGATTACTCACAATGGTTACACTTTTATCACTCCCGCAGATGAACAACCCTCATACACATACCTTGCTGAAAAAGGAAAAAGAACGAGAGGTCCGCAGTATACATGATCCGCCGAAGACTTTTGGACAGGGAGATCTCGACAACGGAAAAGAGACACGGTCCGTAAGCACCGAGTCTTCGGTTCAAGACGCTGCAGATGTACTTAAAGTATGACTCTGCTCACCTAATCTAGTAGAAAATATTAACTAACAGCACATGCAAGTACAGCTTTAAACTTTATGTTGTAAGTGTAGTGAGTAAAAGTGCAAAGCCTGGGCGTGCAACGTGATAGGAAGGCAGAACCATCACTGACAAAGTGTCTGCTTGGGCAACGATTTTGCCAGTAAAGTTTATTAGGAGTAACTCGGATTCGTATACAATACAAGTCACAAAAACAAGTCCCTAATATGGCAGATAATTTGGTAAGCAACACGACCTCATCTGTACCACGGGCAGCTGATCTACCAACGACTTCAAATCGATAACTATGTTCAAATTCTTGCATGAGATACAGCACTGATGCGGTATATCGTAGGCGAAGTAGTCTCTGCAACCTCACTCATGGCCTCTTGTATTGACAAATACATCACGTCTCGGTTTAGAGTTGGCCCTGTTGTTGCCGCTGAGTATTGGGGTGGTTGAGTAGGCAAATATGAGCACACAGCATAGCTCACAAAAGTACTAATAAACAAGGCGAAAAATGACTGCATCATCTTTGAAGGCAAAAAACAGGACCATACCAAATCCAAAAGCATTTTACGCTGCGCTGGTGGTAGCGAGTCAATTTCCTGGGGTGTGAGCTTCATCAGCATATTGATAAGCTCCTGAATAGTGGGAAGACAAGGAATTATACCGTGTAAAACAAAGCAAAAAAGTGCTATTGGGATGCTGGAACGTGTATCGTAGCGTAAAGATACGGGCGAAACATGATTTTCAATAATGTACTTTGTGATTGGAGATGGTTAAATTGAGTAGCATAAGATCGTAGGAGTATTAGACTTTTGTAGGGCAACCACTGACACATTTCACACATTACTTAACGCGAGCCGCAAAATGGATGAAACGGTAAGAGATATAATAGCCCATTGCAATGAACGATCGCTAGGTCGATAAAACATTGCAGGCTTGCAAACACCCATCCGCGTGAAGAAATACAATTCCTTTTTGCTATAGCTGATAGACCAGCTACGGTGTTCCGAATGAGTATACATGCCGAGAAATCGATAAGGTTTGTACATATACCTAGTACTTAACTTTCTGCCACAGTGGATATTCGCGCATTGTCCTATTCAAACTAGAATCAAGACCTGTCATTTCTACAATATCTCACATCTGACCGGTGAGAGCTGTCAGATCCGAATATTACTGTGCGACAGCACGAACCAAGTTATAACAACATAACAGATACCACCTTAGTTATTTGACTTTAGTGTAACAATACTATTTTTAAGAAACATCCAAAGAACCCCCAAAAGCCAACTATTCTTCAAAATGCTATAGTGCAGCCTGTGTCGGCTTTAATTCCGTGAAAACAATAAAGATGTGCGGCACACATGCCCTCGCTCACTTTGTCACAGAAAACTCACTTGCTGCTCGTTCACGGGCAGAGCTTGTTGTGCAGGCTTTGGTGGCTCAACAGTCTCCGGCGGAGGAGGATTGCGTTGCATTGCTTCTACTAATTCCTATTAGGCAAGAAATATTGGGAGACTCATATTAAGTAAAAAGTACACAAATGTCGACGTTCAAAATTTCTTCTCAAGTGCAATTGAGACCCATGGCAGCCTTGAACATCTGGTTCTATATTGGCAGCAAGTTGTTGGTCAGGGGCTGCGCAGTCAATTTACATACACAAAAGTCGAAAATTTTGTGTCACATGAACTAGTAGAAAAGAACAGCCAATGAATCGCACACTCCCGTTCGTTTAGCATCAATGTACAACCACCTGATTCACAACGCCCTAGGCACCATGGTCTCTATATATCATTTCTCACCATGACAATCTACAGCAATATACAGGTCATCGAGCACTTGCGATCGAAAAAACTTGTCACTACACACCTGTAACGTGTCCTCCGTAATCAGATTGCATGATATGACCGCAGTCAATAGTTGTTTGGTGAGGGTGGGATTTATTTTCAACAGGCCACGAGCGTCATCCATAGGCATATTCTGCAGAGGTTGTGGTAGCAACACGTCAGCGACTGAATAGACGTTGTGGGAAGCAAAATTTTATTCACTTCAACAGATAATCTGTTTTCTGGATGAAGCTAGCTAAGATTATATATCGGAACATATCGTGCACGTATATATCTTTCATGGATGGCATAAAGAATTCAGTATAGAGTGTTTTATCAAAAGTACTCACAAAATAAGTGGGGTGTTATGGCCCCAATAAAATCAAACGCATGATTGATAGCGCATGTTTATTTAAAATATCAATCCAAATACGCAACAAAGTATCATAACACCATACCTTTAATTCTTTTATAAGTTCGTAAGCTTTCTCTTTGCTGAGGCCGTCGAGTGAGAAGACCAAGTCCTATCATTTTTTTTAAATCCAAATTAAAGATGGCGTTAGTCGTGATATTGAGTGGTGGTTCTTAAAAGAATACACAGATGGGGGTGTACCTGAAATGGTGAGCGTGAGATGAACACCTACAATCTGATTCAATGACCCAAAATTGTGCATAGTAAGATAAACACATGCATCCAGAGTACCAAAGCTGTTGTGAACATACACAGATGCAGAATCAGTGAGGGACAATGCAGAGCTGATATAAGTCCACAGGAGACAATGCAAAGCCGATCAGAAATCGCACATGAACAGATACGTAGATAAAACCAAAGCAACCTGTACAGGCGGCTTGGCTGGAGGAGGTGGTCCTGGAATCGCTTGATACGTGTTTGGACCTTGTTGAAGAGATGGCTGATTATGGTACTGTCGAAGCGGAAATTAACAATGTATCAGAAATGAGCGGAAGAGATATCCTGCCTGAGTAGTGTGACAAATTAGTATTGGTCGAATATATCACAGCGGGTGACAGAAAAAATAGTGGCAGAGCCTGGCGAAAAATCGACATGCTTGAATTAAAGTAGGTTATAAACAAGGGTTAAATTCTACATTCAGATTTCTTAGTATCATTGCAGAAGAAGGGTTAGGGGAGAGCTCAGTCGTTGACAATATAACTTTATACAATCAAGATTGCAGACGTATTTAGGATATCGTACAAAGATCCTATAATCATGGTTCGTGTGATAAGCGGGTTTATCGCAGTGCATGCGTGATTGAAGTACATACACAGTTTAGAATCTACATGGACATAACATATCACCACATGAACTAACGCCTCCTGCAATTGCGTCCACGACTGTAAACCCTTCAAACCTAAACCTAAACGTAATATCTCACCTGTTGGAATTGCTGTGGAGGGGGTCCCTGTGGTTGAATATATAGCTGAGTTGCGTCCATACCCATTTTTTCCATCGGGGGTTGTCCCTGTCCTGGCGGATAGGACTGTGAGGCCCGTTGTGGCTGCTGCTGTTGCTGCCGTTGTTGGGGTGGTGGGCCCATATTGGGTGGCCCTTGGAATAATTGCGACCCTTTTCTGCCGTCTAAGTTAGCGCCGGGAGCTGGAAGCCCCATTTGCGGTGGCAGTGGAGGGGCACTATATACATTGCTGTTACTAATATTACTGTTAGGGTTCTCATAGTTTGGGCCAGATCGGTTTTTACCACCAAATTGACCCGGCGGCGGCCCATTGCTGCCATCATACACCTGGCTACCTCTGTCCCCACTGTTCATATCATTCATGCTGTTGTCATTACTATTATATTGGGACTGGTTTGGATTCTGATTCGAGCCTTGATTACTATAATTATTGTTGTTATTATTATCGTACCTCCCGTGACTACCCTGCGGTCTGTTCTGAGTGTTATGATTGTTATAATTTGGTCCGGTATTGTTGCTGCTGTACTCATTTCCATCGCCACCTCCATGTTGTAAGTAATTTCGCCCAGGACCTCTCATTGATCCAGGCCCTCCGCCATCTCGACCACGTCCAGAGTCTCCCCTGTCCGGACCTATTGCAACAAAAACAAAATAGATTGAGATTGCGTTGCGCCACTATGGATTGACACAACACTGTTTTGTAACTAATAATAGCTTTTGAGAAAGATCTCCAATAGGTTTGGCAGGGTGATGCACACAGTCACATTCGCCACTTGAAAAATTGAACTACATATTCATAAGTTAGTGTTGTAGAATTCGGATACATAGTTCACCACAGCGTCACTTTCGCCATCATGACTCATCTAGTACATTGAGCTGCTGAGCTTCAAACGAAGGCAAGCAGCGATTGCATATCACGTAGATTCGCATAAAACAATGATAATCTCTCTGATTGTATTAAGTACGAATTGGCACTAATAGCCTGTCGTATTCTGCACTCCCTTGCACAAACTTGGATAAGCATCCTCATTTCAAACCATGGAAACGAAAATTGACATACCTTTTGCTTCGTATACTTTCACCCTCAGCGCACGGCCATTGAACTCAGCACCGTTGAACATATTGACAGCTTTCTCCACAGACCCATGCTGTATGTGGGTGCAGCGACATAAGATAATCGTGTGAGAAGTCGAGGCAAATACTAGTTGAATTAAACATGGTTGCGCAGCTGTTGAATATTACCGAATTACTTAGCCGTGTGGCTAGTTGCAATCGTTCCTATGCTGGATCTCGTGTCTAGAACTATTTGAGAGGTGAGGCTTGGTACAAATTTTTAGTCATGAACTATCTAATGATTTAAGAGGTTTGTATTAGCGCAGACACAGTACCTTATATGTCTGCATGTGTCAGCTCAAACAAAGTGTTCGCATATAAACATTTGAGCATATTGACCGGACAAAAACGTAAACTTAAAGCCAGATAGCAGGTGAATGATCTCTTCCTCGAGTTCCATTTTCGTACACATGTCGGACGAGAACCCAAATTGTTAGTCATAGCTCGAGGAGTACTGTAATCTACACAGAACACAAGTGCAGTACTTTGGAAGTTCTGCATGATGAGAAAGCTGGTGCAATATAAATCTGTTTGATTATTAAAGCCAAGTACACTCCTACATCAAACTCGTATATGTCAAGAGTGGTAGTATTCCTGATAAACTATTTTCTGCAAAAAAAAAACTCCTGATATGATACTCGTTAATGCAAGAGCAACAAAATAGGTTGGGTATTCAATTGTATGTTTGCTGCATGCACTGCAACGATCTGATTTTGAACGAGCGGTTACAAACTTCCTCTGTTTGTCAATTTATCTCTCCTGTTTACAACGGCACGACTTACATACTTCGACATAGTCTATGAAAGCAAATCCCCTCAACGCGCCAGTTTCCCTATCCTTTACTAAGGTCACTTTTTGAACAGGTCCTGCCTGGGCCAGAAAGCTTTCCAGCTGCGGTTCTTGCGTGTCGAACGCAATATTAGAAACTGCAGTAAAAATCGGATTACTTTACATGTTAGCAACAACGACAGCTAGACGTGTACTTCAATAAATGCCAAATCACCAGAATAAAGAAAACTAGTTAGTATTTGTGTCTAAAAATATACTTATGTATATGTATGTATATATACACACACACAT